TTGTTTATTTCGTGATGATATCTTCAATTCTCTAATTTTGGTGAATATTTTTGTCATTTTTGGTAAAAAGTGATATTTTTGACTTCTTGTTAAAAACTGCAAGTCCGATTGCTTTGATATTACATATATAGGTACTACATGTGAACCTCTCTCAGATTTGTTCATTTTGTGATGATATCTTCAATTCTCTAATTTTGGTGAATATTTTTGTCATTTTTGGTAAAAAGTGATATTTTCGACTTCTTGTTGAAAACTGTAAGTCCGATTGCTTTGATATTACATATATAGGTACTACATGTGGACCTCTCTCAGATTTGTTCGTTTTGTGATGATGTCTTCAATTCTCTAATTAATTTATTTTGGTGAATATTTTTGTAATTTTTGGTAAAAAGTGATATTTTCGACTTCTTGTTAAAAACTGTAAGTCCGATTGCTTTGATACTATTCATATTGTTCATTTTCTAATGATATCTTCAGTTCTTTAATTGAAATGTGCATTGCTAACAGCGGAGCTATCTCAGCCGATAGGCTGCTTGTTTTGTTCCACCGTTATCTCAAGAACCACTAATCAAATTTTGGTGAAACTTGGTACATAGATGCTCTGGGATAATGCGCAGAGCTGATTAGGTTTTGGTAAAAATCTATGAATATTAATTACCTAATTTGCATGATAATTAGCTGATTTTAGCTGTTCCAAGACTGTTCCACTGATATCTGAAGAACCACTCATTGGATTTTGATGAAACTTGGCACATGGATGTTCTGAACCAATATGCAGGTTTGATTAGTTTTGGGTAAATCCCTATGAATATTAATTACCTAATTTGCATGATAATTAACTGATTTTAAGCTGTTCTATGACTGTTCCACTGATTTTTGAAGAACCACTCATTGGATTTCAATGAAACTTGGCACATGGATGCTCTGAACTAATGCGCAGATTTGATTAGTTTGGGGTAAAAATCTGTTAATATTATTAATTACCTAATTTATATAATGTTTAATCAATTTTCGTACTAATCATAACATTTCAATAAAACTTGGTACATAGATGTCATATGACACTGCACAGACCTGATAGTTTTTAGGGTAATATGAGTACATATTAATTACCTAATTTGCATAATTAATTAATTTTCAGGGGTTGATATTTCAAGTAATAATGATCACGTTTCAATGAAACTTGGTACATAGTTACTTGAGGACTGTGCAGAGACCTAATTAGTTTTGGGTAAATATTTGTGCATATTAATCACCTTATTAGCATAATTAGTTAATTTTCAGCTTT